AGAGACAGAGAAGGGTGCTCCTTGGGGGGGGAGAAAGGGGAAGTGTTCTGTGGGGCGGGGGGGGGAGAAGAATGGACGTTATGGGGGACAACAAAGGATACTGGTGCCAGAGCCGCCGAGCCTGCCTCACCTCATGCCAGGGGAAAGAGTCACACTCACAGGTGAGTTCCTTCCCCCACCCCTACTCACTCCCCTCCCCTTCCCTTCCCAAAGACCCCAACAGCCAATCCCCTCCCTCAGACTGTGCTGCATTCGGCTCTCTCTAGGACCCAGCAGCCCTGCTCTTACATGCTCCACTGCTTCCCCTCTGTCCGGGCTCCGGGCAGAGTGGTGCCCCCAGGTAGCGTGGTGCCCTAGGCGGCTGCCTGTTCTGCCTATGGCTAAGGATGGCCCCAAAGGCAAAAAAATAAAGTCTTTCAGATACCTGACATGGGAAACCTTTACCTGAGAAGCTGAATCCTTGTCAAACCCAGCTTCCACTGGTGAAACAAGGGAACTTTTTACAGAACAGAAGTTGTTCAATGATTAGTGAAGCTTAAAACACAAGAGCGGCAGGCCGGTCTATATTTCAGTGTTGGAAGTTTGCCCTAATTCTCAGAACAGGTCTGTCACACCAGTGCAGTCCCCAGGGCTTCAGAGCTGACATTCAGTTGGGAGTTGGGTTCCTTGGAGAATCCCCGCCCATATTTGGAGGTTTCTGGGATTTGTATCACTTGGGTAATCTCCTGAAACCACCTTAATTGATTCACCACCATGAGACTCCAGTTTCCTGTTAGGTGCTGTGCTACTAATTAGTGAATGAATAAATACCAGTCAAACTTGGATAATTGAGGTCTCTAATTTATAAAAAGACTGAATTGGAAATAAGTCGGAATATGTCACTCTCCCTATTTCCATTGTTCGGTTTCATTCCCTTGGTGGCCCTGATGTCATAAACCCATTAGGACCAACATTCACCTTGGGTTTGGGTGGAAAAACATCCCCCTACACACTCTTCTGAACCCTCAGAATGAAACCTCCCAAATCATTTCTCTTTCTACAGGAAAAAAATTCAGGCCCATTGGAAGACTTTGCAGGAAGAGAGAGAAAAGCTGCTGGGATTTAAACTGACTGGAGAGGGGAAAAGCTGGGAGTATCTGGTAGGTGCCTGTCATTACTGACCTGCAGAGACTTGTGGAGAGAGGTCTGTTTGTAGGCACATTCCTCTGTGGGCTTGGTGAATGTGGGCATCGGTAGGTTTCTCCATGATTCTAGATTTTCTGTGTTAGGTTCATGTGCAGAATCTAAGCTGTCATGTCAGTGAATGAGTTAATTTCTAGCCCTTGTGGTTTCCCTGTGTCAACAATGCAAGAAATGACTCAGAATTATTTGATTCTTTTCCTCCCTGGAACTTCTGCCACTGTAATGCTGAGTCCTGCCTCCTGCTGCTCAGGATCTCCATGCTCAGAGGCCATTGATAACACGATGTCCTAACCACGTCAGACATGGAAACATCCCTTTCCAGAGACATTGGGGAGAAATGAAAGAGGTGTGAGAGAATCCTCTCCCAAGTAACCACAGGGTAGAATCAAGTGTCTGAAATCTTAGATCTGCAAAGAAATTCTCCTTCCTGCACACTCAGCACTCCATAAAAGACCCCAGGCTGCTTCCATTTCCCTGACCATCCCTTTCCCTATTGCTTTACAGAAACAGATAGAAAAGGAGAGGTAGAAAATTGTTTCTGAATTTCAGCAACTGAGGCAGTTCCTGGAGGAACAAGAACGACTCCTGCTGGCCCGGCTGGAAAAGCTGGACAAGGAGATAGCGAAGATACGGAATGAAAATAACACCATACTCTCGAAGGAGATTTCCCATCTCGGTGAGCTGATGAGTGAGCTGGAGGGGAAGTAACAGAAGCCAGCGAGTGAATTCCTGCAGGTGAGACTGAATTAGAAACGTGGCAGATCCCCACACAGGGAAGGGAGGGCTCCTGAATCATAAGAACGGGGTTCCAGCAGTCAGAGATCTCACTGTAACTCGGCGTGTGGATTGCTGACATGTGAATGACTATTGGTTATTGCAGAGTTACAGACACAGAGATATGAGAGAAGGGAAAGCCCCATTAGCTCAGGGAATCCATGGCCTCTTTTCCCTATATTTGCAAAATCCCTTCCCTAGGATCCACTGCCTGTGTCAAGTGGGACTGAGATTCTTTTTTCTCTCTCTCTCTCTCCTCTAGGATGTTAGACGCACCTTGAGGAGGTACGTGGCTCTCTCTCACTCCCCCTCACGCTTCACAATGCTGGGAAAGAGCCTGGTGATGGTGGTGGTGATGATGTTAGCATCAAATCTCCCCAGGGCTCTACAGCAAAATGTGTGGGGAAGGTCACATGTTGGATACAAATCTCTCTGATCAACTTCATCCTGAGGTTCTCACCATTTTAGAGAAGACTCTGGAATTCTCCATTCAGTGGGAAAGACTGACCTATATTCTGTTCTAAAGGTGTCACGCCCTTGGGGGACTGGCTGTCTCAGGTTTGTGGGGATGGAATATGGGCCTGTCATTGCTGGGCCTCTGGTTCCTATTCAGCCCAGGCCAGCAGCGATCAAGAGTCTTTCCCACCTGAGGGCTGTTTGGAGCCCTGTGTGGAATGAGCTGGGGAGGGGGGAGTTGGTGTCTCAGTTTAGTTCCTAGAGGGCAGATTTCTACAGCACTTCACCTGGGAACCTCCTGTCCCTCAGAGCATGGAGGCCAAGGAGTGAATTGGACATAGGGACTAAATTCCCCTTTTATCATCCCCAGAGCTGATCTCTCCAGGCCAGAGTTGAAGAATATTAATGAGACCTTTGGGGGAAGATTTCATGACCACAGCCTGTGCTGCACCTGCTCTGACTCCAGGCCCATTAGAGCAGCAGCTTTCACTAACAACAAATTATAATGTGTCACTAAATGAAATATACGAATGTGACGTTTTCTCTCCAGGTGTGAGAAGGGGAAGTTCCAGCAGCCAGTGGACATTTCTCCTGAACTGGAAGTGAGACTCAACTATTTCTCCCAGAAAACTGTTCCCCTAATGGAGATTCTGAGGAAATTCAAAGGTGCTGAGAAGGGATCTAGGAGGGGAAATTGGGATGAGCCTCTGAGACTGTGGGAGGGGATGGGCTCTGGCCACTTGGGTCATATCTATTGAATGACAGATGGAAAGTATTTGACCTGGTGTAACAGGTGTCAGGACATCTCACATTCATTCATGGGTTAACAAAGGTCACAACATTGAGGCCCAAATTTAGCAAAATGGCCTAATTTTGAGTCCCTGATTTTCTCTCCCAACTTGCAAAGCCCATGGGGATCACAGACACAGGGGTGCTACTCTGGCTGCATCTCAGGACTTCCCTAGCCTGTGCCAAGGTCTGCACAGGCCTCTGCAGCCACTGACTGGGGGAGTCACAAACTGCCCCCCTCTATCTCTCTGCCAATGAGGGTGAATCTAGCCCATTGAGCCAACACTCTCCCAACTCCAATCTCGACACTTATAACATGATTTTATTATTCTATGGAGGGCGAGGGCCCCGTTGTGCTGAGCTCTGTAGAGAGGCTGAGTGAATAAACCCAAGGGACCTACAACTGCAAGCCCTGAACCTACAAACTCTTAACATCCCATTAATGTCAAAGGGACCAAAGTGTGCTAAAGTCTTTGCAGATCTGGGTCTAGGGTCTGACAAAAGGCAATAGGTGAATGAGACAAACCAGCTGGGGTCTGGAGGGTGGGAGGGGATGATGAGGGGAAAAGTAAATCTCTCTTACAGATTATGTGTCCTGAGATGGTTGTGAGGCTTAGTGGATGATCATGTTGGTTCCATTGCTGGGAGATGCCTGAATGAGAGAGGAAATAGAAGGTTTCAGACCTTTTTATATTAAATACCTGAGTGTATCTCTGGGTCTCTCTGTTTGTCTCTCTGTCATGATGAAAACACAGCTCTTTGAGTTCAGAGTGGGGACCCTGTTATAAATATGAAAGCCTGAAATCTCACCCCTCTCTTATCCTTTCCCCCTGCAGACACTCTGCCGTCTGCACTGGAGACAAAAAGAGGGGAACCACTCGGAGCACACAGACAGGGTGAGACTGCAGCATCTTTCCAGCACTGGCCCTTCTCAGACCCCAGCCCTGCTCCTCTTCCCCCGAGGCCCTGCCCCCTGGCCAGGCCAGAAGCCAGAGCTCAGCTGTCACCCAGGGAGCTTGGGCGGTAGTGGCGAACCCTGCACCCTCCACCTGCCCTGGGATGTTGCACTTTGGGGAACAGGAACATGGACCAGGGCTGCTCCCAGGCCCCCCAGACACCAGCCCAGGGCAGGTGTAGGGTCCGGGGCTCCCCACAGTGGACAAGGCTCCCTGCATGACGAGGGGTCAGGGCCTCGGTGGGAAGAGGAGTAATGGGGCAGGGCCACAGAGTGGGAGGGCCGCAGGTGATGGAGCCTTGTGCCTTCTACCCCCACCAACTTCTACCAAGGTTCCGGAACACCTGGGGGGATTCCAAGCTGACATCACACAAATAGTCCTGACACCCAGGGGTAAAAGTAACTTAAAGGACTTACCAGTACGCCGGAGTCCCGAGCAGGGGGTGGGGCCTCGACCGGAAGGGATGGGGACTAAACTGGAAGAGGCGAGGCCTTTAGAGCCCCGGGCCCTTTATATCGAGATGTAGAGGGCCCGGGACTCCGGCTGTTGTAGAGGTGGCTGGGAGCCCCGGGCCCTTTAAATCACTGCTGGAGCTACCAGCTGTGGAGGTGGCTGGGAGTCCCTGGGCTCGGGGGCCATTTAAAGGGCCCGGGGCTCCGTCTGCTGCTACTGCAGCAGAGCCCCAGGCCCTTTAAATTGCTGCTGGAGCCCTGCTGCCAGAACCGTCATTGATTTAAAGGGCCCAGGGCTCCTCTGCGGTAGTGGTGGCTGGAGCCCTGGGCCCTCTAAATCATTGCCCGAGTCCCACTGCCGGAGCCCCAGAGTAGTGGCGGCCCAGCACTCCGGTGGTGATTTAAAGGGCCGGGGCTCCCAGCTGCTGCTACCACAGTGGAGTCCCGGGCCCTTTAAATCTCCACCAGAGCCCCACTGCTGGAGCCCTGGGGTAGGGCTGCAGGGCTCTGGGGGCTATTTAAAAATTCCAGGGCTCCAGTTGCTTCTACCGCCCCAGCCCTTTAAATAGCCGCTGGAGCCCCGACGCTTCCCCCGGGCCCCCGCCGCT